CAGTTATCTTTTCCATGTGCAAATAACAGAGTTAATTGCTTATGCCTCCTAAAAAAATGTAACAGACTTTCAATTATGGAAGGGCTTGAACTCCAAATAAAATAATAATGAAATGAACAACCATCCCGCAAATCCTGTATTCTTAGGTCTCCTCTTTAAATATCTGTATTGTAGTTTATTTCGAAGCATCTTTATACCATATGTTAACTCACAAAACTCAAGACCCACAGACATTTCTACACCTGATTTTTAAAATCGATTATAAAAGGTATACAACACATGGAAAAGCCAAATTTTTCCATTTGCTAGAAAAACAGTCAAGTTCATTTTCAGAGAAACAGGTATACTAAAGAAAGTTAAAAATAATCCACATCACATATCTAAACAAAAGGGTGTATATTTTAATATACACATAACATTATCAGAGTCAATTACATGTGAAACCTTTCACCTCTCAGATTCCTAGATAATAATGGACCTGTTTTGCCAATGGAAAGAAAAACAGGTTTGCTCCTGCATCAGGCTTCTGTAACTATGTCAAACCGGATATACTAGGACAACTAGAAAGAGTACCGTCATTGCAACAAGTTTCTAAAAATAAAAATCTTATAGGCAGAGCAAAAGAGAAATGTAGCAAGACTGATTCACTTTTATCTGTACAAAACAAACCAGCCTGATCTGATCTTTTGTAAGACCACTTCCTGACACCCACCCAAAACACATACTACACCCTAGTCCAAAAAAGGAAAGAGCTGAGTTGGCAGTGGCATGGCCACTGCATAACCTGATTGAAGGTGTCTGTGATTTAGACAGGCCACAGTTTCCTTGTTTATTACAGGAAGTGTAAACTGTATCGATGCAATCAACAGTGGGCTTTTCACATCCAGATGTTTTTGCCCCCCCCCCCCCCCGTCTTAAACTTTATGAATTTTATTCACGAAAATGAAAGAGCAAAGGTAGCCAAGCCAGAGATAAAATGCCTGAGCCAGGGATCACAAGTCCCCGGAGCTGTAACGAGCCCAGGCCTGCCCTGGGAAGCAGTGGAGATCCCAGAAACCATTGACAGACAGACACACACCCCTTTTCTCTATGGGAGTCCAGCACGACTCAGTGAACACAAGCCCTTTATGTATTTACTTCCCCCAGCAAAATCCACTGACTGCTCAGCCCTCGCTGTGGTGTTCTCCGGCGTGACCCCGGCTCCAGCCCCTTCCACAGCACAGACCCGGCTCCACCTTAAGCGCCCCCCCCCCCACACATTAGGTTTGCTAGGCACCGCTACCTGCGTTACCGACACTGAGGCTTCCCCAAGCTGGAAACGAATTAGCGCGGGGAAACCGAATCAAAGAACAGCCCCCGCGCCCCAGAGATGCTCCTCTCACCCCGTCCCCGCAGCAGGCATGCTGCATGCTCCGCCCTCCCCGCTCGGCGACCATCGTGCTGCCCATCCCACTGCCCCCCTAACTGTGCAGGGTGGATGCCGCTGCCGCCGCACACCTGCCCCGCTCCCCGTGCCATGCAGCACCCTCCTGCCGGTGCCGTCCCCGCCTTGCCTGGGTCTTGTCAAACTGCTCCCGCTCCGCCTCCAGGCTGTGCCCGGGCCGGCGGCTCAGCACGCGGGCCGGCACGTTCTTGATGGTGTTCATGCTGCTGGCAGGGGAGCCCGCTGGGCGGCCGGGAGAAGCGGCGGCTCGCTCCGCTAAGGGCTGAGGCGCGGAACGTTCTGCTCCTGCAGCCGCGGCGGCCCGACCCTCAGCCTAGCAACTGCTCGCATCCTGGCGAGAACCCAGCCAGGGAGCGCAAGGGCGCCCCCAGCGGGCGGCCCGGGCCACTGCTGGGGGCAGGAGCATCCACTCACAGGCGAGGGAATCCTCCCCTCCCAGCTCCCGGCCAGCCACTCACAACCAGCAGCTGCTGCCGCTCCTCCCCGGCAGCGGCTCCCCAGCAAAGCATTGTCTCTCTCACACTGTCTCCTTCTCTCCCTCCACCCACTGCAGCCCCTAGTCTAGTCTAGATTCTAGAATTACAGTAACAGGCGGGGTATGAAGTGAAGCATCTTTCTCTGCCCAACGCAAGGTAGTGGAAGACCCTGAAATGATACCAACGGCGAAAGGCTGAGAGGGGAAATCAATGCCTGTTCACAAGCTAGGATTGTTCGTATTTAATTACTCCTCTTCCCCAGTAGCGTAACACAGAGTTCCTAGGGAGACTGCAGTAACTGTTCTGATTTCTTTGGAGTGAATTATGTAATGAGGCCCAAATCCTGATCTACTTTAAATCAATGACAAACCTCCTTGACTTCAATAGAAGCAGGATTTGGGTCAGGAAGCAGGTTTCTAAACATTTAGCACTCCACCCTCAGTTGCATTCACTCATGTCAAATGGTTATGAAAACATAAGATAAGCATTAGTACTCCAACCCTGCCTTAGTCCATAGTACTCCCTGTTTATAGTAAAGCCACTTTTGTCTCTAGTTGTGTAACTCAAAAATAGCTAAAGTGATTTTATAAATACAATAGAATCCTCTTACTTGGAGCATACTGATGGACAGCTTACCACACTGATTACAGCAAGAGATCATTTTAAGTTTGAAGGCTTTAACAAAATGTTGTAATGAATAAAAGTATATATGGTGCATTTCAACTTTGACACTTGTGCACAGAAGCCTGTCTACCACCAAACAGTACCTGAATCACCACTGAACAATTAATTACAAATGCAGACAAAGAACATCTTGACCATTCCATTGTTTGTCCATCGAGTAAGATGAGGGCCACACTGGAAAAGCTTAAGAAGCCACTACTGTTTGATTTCAAACCTATCAAATTCTTTGGCTACTTTTGTACTTGTCCCTGTCTCTATATAAAAGGTACTAAATCACTTTTGTAGAGCATAGTAATGTATCATAGAACCTGTGTTTTGGTAAAAAACAAAATACGTTTACAGGCACACCTGTATAGATGTTGTTCTTTAACTGGATTTTTTCATTCTTTTTGAAAAATGTAAATCCTGCTGTACTATTCATTTGGATGTCATTTAGGATTCTTTGATGGTGTAAGCATCTATATAAACAATATAATTTATACTACTGTAGCATATAGAGCATGCAACCAATGATCAAGGCCCCATTGTGAGAGGCAGTGTACAAACATGTCATAAGAGAGTCCCTCTGCTAAAGAGTTTGATTAAAGACAACATGTAACAGGTATGTGAGGCAAACAAAAGGGTAATAGTGGGGGATTGGGAGAATGAGATACCAACAACAAACATTTTCATGTAGACTAGATGTACTCTAATACAGCTTACAACTTGTCTTAACTGGCAGTGTTTCACAGGCAGCACAGCTGAAGTGAGTTAAAAGAGGGATCTTTCTTATTCTTTTGTTTCAATAGAAGTTCATTATCTCTAAGACATTGATTTTTTTCTGCAACAGACTAGTTCATTTAAGCTCTGTAAGCGAGCTATAATAGAAAAATTGCTGAGTAAATTAACTGAATATATTAAGCTATTAGAACAAAGTATTTGAGTTGGAATGATCCTATACATGTTCTCATAAGATTGGTCACCAAAACTAAACGCATACGGGGGGGGGGAAATCTTTGAAACCATGAGCTGTTATTAGTTCAAGAATAGTGTAGTTATGTGTTGTAAGATATTTGAATATAGACATCTAAATACCAGGTTTCTTTAGGAGTTGAGATACTTTACCTTCAGGGCTTTAGCAGCCTTTGCCCTAATAAACTGGAACTCTGCAAATCTGTTAAGGGAAAAGGAAAATATGAGACAATTATGTTAATTTTTCTGTCTGTACTGTGTAATTGTCAACTCTCTCCAGTTTTTCTATTTGATGAAGCTTTCCTGAATCAAGGGGTGTTTTTTGTTTTGTTTTAAAAATCAAGCTTGTTTCTCCATACAAAACGACAGTAATGGAAAATGTACAAATTAGTTTAAAAAGCTACAGAATCTCATTGCTATCTTCTTCTGTTTCTCAGACCTCTAATTAGAAAAGCCAAGTAGCTGGAAACACCTACACCCTAGCTGAAAGCCGTTAAATAAAAGTCTAAATTTCCTTTAATAATAGTACATGTTTCCAAAGATCCCTATTCTTAGGTAGTTGATTTAGTTTGAAACTCCATAGAAAGCCTCAGAGCATAATCTGTTTGTTTTGCAGGTGTGTTAATGCAGGAATAAATTCACCCAAGTATTCCACCTCTCTTTCAGTTTGAAAGTTGCAATCTTCCAGATCATCTCATGCCTAGAGAAAACCATATTCAGAACAAGATTAAGATATAGTGGTGTGTGTGAGTATGCCAGACATGAATTCAAACAAATACAGCAGCACTAATAAAGCATGCATAATTTGACCATGATACCAACTCTTAGCGCTTGCCTACACAGTTTTTGCACCTTAACTAAAATCAGTTTTATGTATTGATTAAAAGAAATTGGTACAACCCTTCTGGTATGAAAACATGTACAAGTTTCAAAGAGTTTATATTATTTAGATGGTGTTGGTTAGAGATGAATACTTTTAAACTGATAAGTGCATCCACAGTAGGAGGTTGCATGTATTTGATTTAAGTAGTTTTTTTTTTAAATGTACCAATTTAGTTAAATTGGTGCAAAGACGGAGAATAGACCAGGCCTTAGTGCTAGCATCATGAACTTACCATGTATGCTTTTTACTCTGCTGCACTCCACTGCTCCACTTAACAGTAGTCCCTGAGAATATTAACTGCAGTGCTCATTAGCAGATAGGGAATTTGAGTGTCAGCTGCTTAAAAAATTACTTTGAAAGTTTGTTTTAAACTAGTTCTTGTCATGCGAATCTCAGAGCAGGGATCCTTCCCTCCCACCAGTGCCACAGAGTGAGCCAGGGTTTATGCATGATAGAGCTGTGATGCTAGATTTGAGACCTAGTACATTCGTGGTCAATAACTGGTTAAATGTCAAAACTAAGATGTAAGGAAGAGATTAAGAAGTGAAAAAATGGTATTTATTAGGTTGTATGGCCTTTTGTTTTGGTTAAAAATATTTTCAAATGCAATAATGAGTCGTTTCTACTTTTCTGATGGTCATAGATACACAAGGCATAGTTAAAATATTTAAAAAGACTACACATTAAATCCATGTCATATACTGCTAAAAACATCCATATCAACGCATGATCTTATAAGAAGTTTGTGTTAGAATAAATAGCTCATGACTGGGGAAGAGTTATTTTGCCAATCTTGTGGGTGAAGGGTTTTGTAAATTTCAGCAATGTAGGAGGTATATCCTGGTTACTTCACTAATTAGCAACTTCTTATAAACATTATTCATATCTATTTACATGGCAAAATGTCCAGAACTATAACAATGGACAAACAGGAGTTAACACTTTGCTGTTATACATTGTAAATACCAAATATGCACAACTATGGAAGTAGTAATAAAAATAGTTCTATATTTAAAAAAATATGTCACCTTTATGGAGTAAACAATTACGCATTTTATATTCTTACTTTAAAAACAAACAAACTAGCATTTAACCTGAGTACTGATCTATAAAAAAGCAGTTTTTCATCTTAGCATAATTCTAAGTTATTATTCACAAATATAGAATACATTCCAGCATACGGTCATATCTTTTTGGCACTTGCAAAATTTTCAAACATTCATGAGAGGTATGACCAAATAACAGGTCATTTAGTTAGTTAGTAACTGTTCATTGTAGCTTATATGTGGTAATGATCTTCAGTTTTCAAAATGTATTTTAAATTAATAAGGACATCTTCTTTGTTCTTGCCAGATAGTAAGGATGTCATCTTTGTTTCTTCCAGATAACATGCAAGGAATCTGGTTAAAGGGGGGTGGGAAGGGAAGAGAACTCAGTTAAAAACATATTGAAAAGTTACTACTACTATTACTAATAGTACAAATTTAAAACTACAACACTGAATTATTTTTCATGGCATAAGAAATAGAAATACCAGTAAAGACATGAGATGTCAAGAGGGAAAAAAACATTTTATAGAGTGAAGTGCATATCAGCAGTCTCCCTCAGGGACATGACTGGAGGGTCGCTACATACATTCTTTTCATTTCTGTGTAAACGCCTAACAAGTCTGCAATTCTCATTGCACAAGGCCTACTCCTTTTTGCCCTGTGTAATCCCGAGAGTCAGGATTTACAAGCAATGGTGCATGCCATAGCTACCAAGAGCTTAACATATCATTTTTCTCATTGCTTTCACCTTTTTTAGGGCTTTTAGACTCCCTCCAAATGATTCTCTTTCCCAGAGGAAAAATGACAGACTGATGAAGCCCAAGATGGCCAAAGCTTTGGCAATTAAATAGGAAATTAAGACAGAGCACCTTCCAGCTGAGGATTTCAAAGCAGTTAACATTAATTGATTATGCCTCTAAATAAAAATGTACAAACATACATTAAAGTTATTTCTGGTCTGCTATAAACTTTGTGATGATTATTTTAGATTCAGTTATCTCAATTTTTAAGGGAGTTTAAACGGTCTCTAGGAGTATTTGTTAAGGATTTGCAGTGAGTGATTGTGGACAAGTTCCTTTCTTCAGTACTCTCTTGGCTGAAGTAAATTAGATCACCCACATGCTTAAAGTTAAACAGGTTCTTGGTGCTTTGCTAGATCAGGCTCAGGCTGCTCAGCATTTTGCAGTGAATTGCCTCTTGAGCACATCACATCTGCACTCAGGGCTAGACTGGTTTCCAGATGCAAGTCAGGCTGTTGGTATTGACATAAAGCCCATAATGGCTTAAATTCTATACATCTTTGGCTGCATCTATAATGGGCTTTTTTTAATTGAACATTTTTCCTATGTTACTAACTCTGGTTCATATCCCAGGCAGCATTTAACCATGTCATCTCACCCAGCGCAGAATAGATCTAGACAACATGGTGCTTAAATTGCCAGCTGCAAGTCCCTTGTCTACACTAGTACTCCAATTGGTGGTGCTGGACTGGTGGTAGCAAACGGCGGGGTTTTTTTGTTTGTTTGTTTGTTTTTGGAGGGGGGGGGGGGAAGAGAGAAGAAGAAAGAGACCAAAAACAAAACGAAACAAAAAACTATCATAGATTTCACGTTAGAGTCAGACTTTATTTCCCTGAGGCTTGAGGTCAGCTCCATATGACCATCTCTAGATTTCCAGTTCTGGGAGCTGGGGACAGAGCAGAGCATTCTCAATAAAGGACCCTGACTCCAGAATTCACTCCCCACTTCTTTGGTCCAGTAATGCCTCAGGCCTTCATCCTGCAATCTGTTGCACATGGAAAGAATTGCTGTGCCCTCCCAGAGATTCACTAATTTCAGTGGGGCTCTGTGCGGCACAGACCATCACCCACATGGAATGAATTGCAGGATCAGGGCTTGAGTTGCAAGGCCTAACTGCCCAGGGTTTTTCAGAGGGAGAAGTCTGAGGAGTTATTGGCTGCATTAGCTAACATCTGTTTGCTGCTATGTGTCTCATGTATATGGGTTTTATTGTAGATGCACTTAGAGCTTTGTACTAGGCCCATCTTAAGTGAAAAAAAAAAATACATACATATTATTGCTGCATTTGTAAACATTACAAAATAAAAAATAGAAGAAAAAAAAAACAAAGACTTACTCAAGATCATAAAGAAAACAGTGAAAGTTTTGTCTCACTTTCTTCCATAGCTGGCAGTTGCACTTTGCAAAGAGCTTCTGTAAGTTCTGTTGTCTATAATATAAAGTAACAAGATTAAGTACAGACTTAACTTCATAGTGGATCATAAAAATTGACACAGCTGCAGAGTTCAAAACTGGAGAAAAGTAATTATGTGCTCTTCAACTCATCTCATTCTTTCCCACCTTTTTCTTTTCACCCGAGAAGTAGGGTATATGGCATATGCATTTATCTGCCCTAATTGAGCAATCTACCACTAAGACAGCACCTAATACAGTGCTATTTTGTAGAGAATCTTTCATGCAAAAAAACAATACAATGATGATGTAAAAATAAAATTGTAGCAGGAGTGTGAAATTAATAGGTATAGGCTAGGGAGAAAAATAATTTTGAGATGAGATTTGAAATGTGATGATGAGTACGTAAGGCAAAGAGGTAGAAGAAGAGTTTCATTTACACCTAGAATAATGAATGATAATGATTGAGATTTTATTTGTAACTGTCCCCCCAGCTGACAGCAGAAAATAACTAAAATTAAGAGAACATAACCCAGCAGGGACAAACTTACACCTGCCAAAGGCTTATGTTGGATCCTTTAAAATCATGCCTTAATTGGTATAAAGCCCAAATTTAAAAACAGCCTCAGTGAACTCCATTTCAAGACAGGTTAGTTGGCCAGTGTAGATTAGGATAAACCCTGTTAAATATAGTTTTTAAAAACTATTTTGAAACTAGATCAAAGTTTTAAATCTTCAGGTTTGAAGACAGCTCATACAACAAGTTTAATATGTCAATATTCTGTGTACAGAATCTTCCTAATAGGGCACACTGATAAGATCTTCTTCTATGATAACTGCATACAGATTATATTCATGCATTTCCATTGTGACTTAATACATTATCTTTAATCTTGCAATGAAAACTAAAGAAATTAACCTGTTAAAAAATGAGTATTTATGCTGTCTGATTTATGCCTGTACCAGAACAGATCATATATACCACACATTAATCTCCGATATCACCTTCCTCCCCAAAAATGATACCAAGCATAAGAAGATAAGGATGAGTTAAGATCAGAATTATGTTCACTATCTGCTGTTCTGCCACAAGTTGCTCCAAAACAACTTCTTCCTTCCCTGTGTTTAGAAACATAAGCCAAATTCTGTCCTGATCATATGAAGATGGAGGGGTGCAAGATTGAGCCAAATTTGGCTCAGACACTTTATCATAAATATCCAATCATTTTCCTCATCAGTAAAGTGTTAAGAGTACTGTGTCTATATCATAGTGCAAGCCAAGCAAAAGGAAAAGAATGTTCAGAGTAACTCTTCCCAACATTCTAAATCTAGCCATATTAAAGTGATAAATACCATATTAACACTGCTGCTGTCGGGACTGCAACAGGGGCTAATGTGGAGCAGCGTGCTAAGCTCCAGATCAGCAACCATCTGTCGAGACTCAGCCAGCAAACGCTGGAGTTTACTTGTTGGTGAACAGGAGTCCTAGAAGGAACAGAAATTGAACCAAAGTTATTAAATGATCATTTTAAAACATGTTCACTGGTTGCAAATGTGAAGAATTATCACTGGGCATTATTTAATAAAAACAAAACAAAAATCTTTAACTTTGAAATACAGTGTACCATACAATGCCATTCCAGAATCTGTAATTGTTACAAATGTAAATGCTAATATTTCCATTGAAAGGTCTGTGCAGGGTAACAGGTTTCATATAGCTATGCGCACACACACACCCCATTACTATTAAAGACAGGTGCCAATGAGGAGACCAAAAAACCCACAACACTAGTGTTTCAAATAGATGAAGAGGCAGCAAATTTCTTACTAGTTTCAATAAAGCAACTTGTCCTGGCAGCTGCTGAAAGGAGAGTCAGCTGGTGGTAACTGAAAATGTGATCCTCCCCATTTCTATACTTATAAACAAGCAGCATATCTCCAGATTTAGAGAGGCATGCTTAATTCTTAGGCCTAGGATTAGGATCTAGGCCTATTAGGTCTTCAGTTAGCCTAAATGACACCTCACAAAGTGCTGTGCTGGGTTATTGCTCATTTTCGCACACAATGGGGTTCCCACAGACCCAAATGATACTGAAACAGAATGGTGGGTTGATGCCCAATATGTAAGGAATGGGAATTTGGGGATATACCAGATCTGAGAGGGACCAGGAGACAACTCATGCCTGCCCCAACAGTTTTAAATGACTGATTTGAAGTCTCCCATGTGGGAATGGTGAACTAACCTCCTGCTCCTAGGATCAAGCTTGAGTTGCAATCCTTATCAGATGGACAGAACAAAGCCCACAAAAGGTGCAAATAGAAATCTACTCAACATTGCCTGCAATCTATAAATAAATCCAACCCGCACAACCCAAAAAGCAAACACAGACTGGCAACACTTGGAATCAAGACAGTGCAAAAGCAGATTATAACCACGCAACAGCAATATTGTAATGACTAAGAAGAATATGAATAGAGAGATGGGAGGGAGGGAAGAAGTTTCCGGTCAGCAAGCAGAACAAAGGAACAACCTCTAATAGTAGCACCCACTCAATCTCAGATCCCAAAATTTACTGGGATTGACTAATGGTGACTAGCGCTTTGCAAGCATGCTTGCTATTACCTGGTCCCTGATGCAAAGGGGAGACCCTCTGGCTTTGCCCCCTATGCTGGCACCATCAATAAGGCCAGCATCATTTTCCCTGCAGCATTTGCAGCCTAAATACTGCAACATCATGCTAACTCATGGTGGGAAACTGGAAGTGAAATTATTATTTTAATTGACTAAGCAGAACCAAATATTTTTAAAAGGCACAGACATGACAAGTGAGACTTAAAGTGATTCCAGTTTTAATAATCTATAACTCAGTGTGTAAAAACACACACAGGTTTTCTCAACATGATTTGTGATTTGACAATACTCTTTAAAACCCTTTCTAAAAGTCTAATTTACTTCACAGATAAAAAGGAGAAAGAATAAAAACCAGACAAACCCACTCTTAAATTCACTCTTAGCCATCCTAAAACTAATGTACCACATTATGAAGCTAGATACTGACATAGTTGATAGTAGGACTGGTGCACTTATTTGCTGACTGAATCACTGATAAGTTACTAATCTCTGAAGGGAGGTCTGCATCGAACAATCTCTCACATTTCTGGGGCCCATCTCTCTTCTGTGTGGACGTCAAACAGGGAGAGTCCAAGTAAAAGGAATTCAGATCCACACGTTCTTCACTGTCAATAAAATTAAGATATTTCCTGAAACAATATCACCAGTAAAATCACTAAGAAAAGTCATAATGCAACATAATTATACTTAGGCCTTGATCCAGCAAAGCCGTCAAGTACATGTATAACTAAGTCAATGACATTACTCTCAAAGTTATTCACATGCTTAAGTGCTTTGATGGATGCAACCTTATTTTCGGAGTATAAGAGAGGAATCCTGAAATACTTCCATGAAGCAGCAGATATGCGAAGCATATGCTTAGCATGTTTACCTTAAATGACAGCACAAAAAATATCAAGGTACCTCTCAAAATATCTAAATGAAAGCAGCACCCCATGCTTTCATGTTCTGCCCCAAATATTCCCTTATTAAAAACCGCCTTTAAACAAGTCTAAAAATGTAGCTTTAAATATTAAAGTGAAAATTTTAAGAGTTTAAAAAGTTATTTCCCCACTTTGGATATCACTGTTCAGCTTCCTCCCACCCTTGACTACATTGGGTTTTTTTGGTGATCGTGGGTAGGGGGGACAGAATTTAAATACAATTTATGAGAAATTGTAACTACAGCTAACACTCAACTGCCTGGATAGGGTTTCAGAGCATGAAGCTAAAGGTGTATTGTTTCAGCTCTGTCAGGAGGTAACCATCAGGCAGTGTAGAATCAGGCCTGACCTTTGGACACACCCCCAACAGCATGCAAGACCTTTTCAGCCTAGAACTTCACACGCAGCATCATCTCTTTATACTTTCAGCTTTCTCTGCTGAACTTTAGACCATCACTTATTAGAAAAGGTAGTATACTAAGAAGAGAGAAAATTCCAAAGTTGATATCACTAATATTTTATATGTATGTAAAGCTTTTTTATGCCAAAGGACTTCAACCTATACATAATTCCACATACAAAAAATAATAATTTAGGATTCAGGTTGCTCAAGTATATTTCTTCACACCACCACATATTAAAAAAGCAAATTAAATTATAAGTTAAGGCAATAGTTACACCCAACACAATACCAGTGTCCAAGCACTGACCCGCTACTATCAGGATACTCAACCATAGCACCACAAAGCCCTCTCTAGCACACATACTTTCAGTTCAACACTAGGATCTCCCACAATGTGCACATCAAGGAACTGAACGTTACACATATTCTTTCTTTCTCTAATAAAAATTAATTTTACTTTCTACCCTTGATAAGAATATTGCTCAAGGATAGGAGGAAACTACCATACTTCAAGACGACAAAACATATTGTCACAATACACCACATGAAATCTATGCAAACCTCTGACTGCTCTGTAGTTTAGCCAGCCAGTTACTAATTAAAGTTTTACAAAAAAATAATAAAAACCTTCAGCCAACCAGAAATCAATCCATTCACACAGAGCAGCACAGGAAACGCACTGTACTAGCACTCTAACTAGATGTTAGAGACACTGAACTGGGATAATTGCTAGAAAGCCAGCAAGTTGCAATGATTCTAAACAATAAATAAGATCACCTGCATCCTGCGGTCTGCTTACACAGAATGTCTAGTGTAGTCTGCAGCTTATTCACAGTTGTTTACACGTGGGCTCAGGGGTTTACTAGTAGTTTCTAGCTGTGCAAGGACTTGTTTATTGCCAGCTACTAAATGAATCAATTTCACTTTAATGGAGCTTTTTAAATGTTGTGTATTATTCTTATTTTAAAAAGTTAAAAATTAAGAAATGACCATCCCTCAGCATGTTTTCCCGGTGATCCTCTCTAATAAGCAAAAGCACCTTTTTGGACACATTTCTCCATCTACAGGGATTTACCAAATAGCAGCATGCATTTTTACATGTAACCTGACATTCATTAAGCACCACTCTTTACAGGGCCAATACAGACAGTCCCTAACCCAAAGAATTTACAGTCTAAGGCCTGGTCTACACTAACACCCCAATTCGATCTAAGGTACGCAACTTCAGCTACGTGAATAACGTAGCTGAAGTCGACATACCTTAGTTCGAATTTACCGCGGTTCAGACGCGGTCCACACGCGGCAGGCAGGCTCCCCCGTCGACTCCGCGGTACTCCTCTCGCTGAGGTGGAGTACCGCAGTCGACGGCGAGCACTTCCTGGTTCGAATTATCGCGTCCAGACCAGACGCGATAAATCGAACCCGGAAGTTCGATTGCCAGCTGTCGAACTACCGCGGTAGTGTAGACCTGGCCTAAGAAAGATGCTTTGGAAGACCCAAAGGAACACGTTATCTCAGAACGGTTTTGTTTAATTTTAGTTACCCGCTTATAAAATGGTGCAGCCCAGAGTGCATTTGACTGACATGCACCAACGTTTGTGAGCCTTTTAGAAGAAGGAACTCTTTAGGAGGGATATGAATGATGAGAAGTTGAGGGCCTGCCACTCTTGGTTTAGGAGGTCATTCCACACTGTGATCCAGCTTTGAAGAAGACAGGGTGGGGAATGGGAAAAGGAAATGAACAGGCTTGAATTTGGCATGCGTGGTTTGGTTCAAGATACAAATGGTCCTTGTTTAAACCAAAACGGAGCACAGGCCTGCAATAGTACAGTGAGCAACCAGTCTCGTGCTCTAACTTCAAAAATATAACCCGCATTCACGTCCATTAGACAAAATGCAGCAACTGTTGGTACAACAGAAATAAAGTCACTGTAGTATAGAAAATAGAGATTACTCCATCAGTATCACATTTCACGATCTCTCGTGATAAAATATGGCAGTTCATCAGCTGAGTTAAGATCCCTCTTGCCAGTTATTACAAAAACTGCAATGACTCATGCCAAAATGTCAGATGGACTGACAAGGGAAGCACCCTCCTTTGCCGACTGAGTACCCAATTAAGCTATCACCAAGAGACTACAGAAACAAGAGGCAAGCCCTGGATAAGAATGCAAACCCTAGCAAAGGCCCCAAGCAACGTTAAATTCACAGTGAGCAGGTTTGTGGTGGCAAAAGGTACCTTCAACCTCCCCTCATCCAAGGGGCAAATAAGCATTTAGTGCAGATTCCAAAAGTGGATAGCACTGGCTGGGAAATGGAGGTGGCCAGGACAGCACATCTTCCATCCGTTGGGCTCCTATGAAGAAAAATCCTCAGGGGAGGGCAACAGTAGAAGCACCACCTGCACCCCACGGGGCAAAACCCATGCTAGGTAGAGTGGCCTTCACTGGCAGAAGGAAATTACATCTGCTCTTCCCTGCACTACCAAGGTTGAATCTGTTCCCAAGTGTGACTTTTCGGGGGCAGAGGCAAAGGGATTAAGTTAAAGTTTATAACTCTACTTCTCAACCAGGAATTCACTGGAATGGGAGTGTAGTGGTTCCTAGGAAAGGGTGCAAGGTTTTTGTTTTTTGGGGTGGGTGGGAGGGAGGAGGTAGAAGAAAGGGGACTAGAGGGGGAGGGAGATGATTTAGGAACAGTACGAAGTAACTTTAACCAAATAAAAAAAGCTAGTTTACAAATGCAAAAACTAAGCTATGTGGGAATGCTCCAGAAAAGCATTCCATTTCAAACGGATGCCTATTCATCAACCTTTTGTCCCTGAAGTGAAATGGACCTATACAACGTTTGTTGGGTTATTTTAAACAAACAAGAAAGAGAGAGTCAGTACCTTAGACATGCCTCTACATAAAGTTCATACAATTGGATGTTGGAATATATTCTCTGGGCAAGATCCTCAACTAGTGTGAATCAGTGTAAATCTATTGCAGTCAATTGTGCTAGCTGATTTACACCAGCTGAAGAGATGGGCCTCTTCTGTGTCTAGTGGAGAGCTAAGTGGGAATAGGGATGAATTCTTTGTAAAGTGATCCAAAGGATTAAGTCCTTGTACAATACTGTTGATAACTGCCTAATTTTTTTCAATCTGAGGAGGGAAACTGAAGGGAAGTGCTCCTCAGTGAACAGCTGCTGTCATGGTATATCCATCAGAATAGTTAGAGCTTTGAATTTCCTTGCCTATTGTCAGCATAACACTACGTACATAAATGTTTCCTTAGAGGGCTCCCAAAGCCTGCAAAAATATACCAGTATTTCTTTAAAACTTCTCAATATGCAGAAATTCATTCTCCATCCCACTGGCCTCTGACTACATCTCAATTTTTTCTAATACGACACAGGGATCTAAAGATCAATAAATGTGTCAGACAACTAAGATTATTGTGGGATCAACTAAGTTATGGGTTTGGTTTATTATTAAACTTACAAGTTATTTCATTTTCTTTCCTCAACTAAGGTGACTTAATTTGAAGCAGAAGATGTAAAAAGAGGCATGGATTTTACATCCTTTTCCAGACACTTATTGAGTTGCCAAATGAGATCAAAAAGGGCAATAAAAACTTCACACAGCGACTAGATTTTATATCTGCCTTAAAAGGCACCATCTTAAAAAGAATCCCTCTTCTGTGTGAAGATTTTGTTTAGGTAACACTATAACCAAACGTGGGTTTTTTTTTTTTAAAACAAAAAATAAAATTAAAAAAAAAATCCATTCTTCCCCCTTAATTTGATATTTTGTACATTTGACAGCACATTGTGTAGTCAATTTCAGAGCTTCCCTTGTTTGTCTGGGTCTTTCACACAACCGGAGAAAACAAAAACTTATAAAAACAGGAAAACGGGATACTTGAAACTACGTAATTTCTTTTAAATTTACTAAGTTTCAAGTTGCTAGTCTTCCTTTAAAACTTAATATGGATTATTTTAAATCTTGTACAGGTTAAATAAAAGTTGTCAAGAGGTAGTCCAGATTTCTACATAACTACAGCTGTATCTATATATTTGGGTTTTCAAATGTAACAAATACATAACCTTTTTAAGCTGGTACTTTTTATTCCATGTACAGTCTTGGGACAGTTGCAAACTGCTCTGCACCACACATTTCCATCTCCTTCTATGGGTCTGAAAATCTGCATCCATTCGAGATCTGTTACTGGCTTATAACATGCAGCTTTATCTATGATGGAGTTAAGAGTACAGAAACCAGATTCATCTATGGGAAATATACCAGGAGAGGCTCTGCTTTTTCGGTCACATAAAATTCCCACTGTCTCTGTCTGATCATTACATTCAACATCAGTTCTGTCAGACTGCTTTGACCCAGGACGCCAGCAATTCAACGAATCTAAATGAGGACTGAAGTTGAGCCAATGCTCGTGTATAGGTAAAGATGCTCCAAAGTTTTGTTGGTCTCTGCTTAGAAATACATCTTGTGAAGTTTGAGATGTTGTTTCCCTGCCTTCCACAGACCTCATACTGTTTCTATCAGATACAGTTCTGCTGTCTAGTTCATCTGTGCTTACCGAAGCATTCTGCTTTTCATCTTCCATAAACAAAGTCTTTTGTCCACGTGATAAGCCTTTAAAGATTTTCTGAAGCCGATTTAAGTGAGCCAAGGTAGTTTCCTCCATGTCTGACACATTAATTAGCTGGCTATTCTCTGCTTCACACATATTACAGATTTTTTTTAGACTGCATTTCTGAGTTTGTGTAGTCCCATATTCCTTAGGTATCTTCTGAGTGCCTTCACTGCTAACTGTGTCTTTTTCGTTGCTACTTTCAAGGTCTGATAATACCAAACCTATGCTACAATGGCATGATAAAGAACTCTAGTTATAAATATTGCATTTAATATGTGAATTGTATTTGGTATAAACCACACTTTGTAGGATTGTGGCTTCATCCTGTGCTCGATGTGCGAGACACAGGCAAAGGTCTGTGCCTACACAGAACCCCACTGGCAGGGCTGTCAATCCATGCATTGTACACTGCAGGATCAGGAGCAGAGTCTTTTTATATTTTACCCATATTATACACCGTAGAAATTCTACTTGAAACTATAAGTTGTGCTCTGATTTTCCAGACTGAAAACAAAAGCCATTTGAATTTTAAAAAATTAGACACTATATTAATTGGCCAGTTTTATGCTGCTCCATAATTCCAGACCGCTCTTTAGCAGTTTCACAAAAGAGAGAGGAATGGACACCAATGTATCAGTCTCTCAGGATTGAATTCATCCTGGGAAACAAGGAAAGTTTCATCTAGGACAGTGGTTATCAACATTTTTTCATCTGTGGACCCCCGAAAAAAATTCAAATGAAGGTACAGACCCCTTTGGAAATCAGACAATCTGCAGACCCCCCATGGGTCTGCGGACCACAGGTTGAGAACCACTGTGGACATTCAATATATAACTAAAAAAATATTAAAGGTGAGAAAATATAAGCTTTATACTGTACATGTAACCAATGTATAAACAACAGGCATTAGGAATAAAAGTCATTTGGTGTAAAAAAAAAAAAAAGTGAATTCTACACTGTTTTTGAGGAAAAGCATGCAGCTAAAAGTACGTAGCTAAGAGTAGCGTAAGGTACATCCACTAGAAGAATACTCTAACGTGCTTCCAGCTACTTTTCTGAAGACACTAACTTAATCTTGACTAATTTAAAAAAAAAAAAAACACCCACCAAGGAAGCCCCAGAAGCCTGACAGGCACTTAACATAATCTGAAACACCAGTAGGGATCAAATTCATTAAATAAATATGTTACAAGGTAGAATGATTAAGCAGGCATAAAGAGATGGTAAAAATGACTATTATTCACTATACTATGGCTTATTTTACTGGAAACCTTTATGACTAGATTTGTTACGTTTACTCTAATAGTTTATGTAATCTGATTTTATAAGTTTTTATTTCTTACACAGTAGTAGTTGTCTGACTCAGAGCTTACGCTCTAGTCTGTGACTAACATACACTATGTCTCTTGACCACATAACGGAAAACTACATGAGAACAGTATTGTGGCTCACAGGCCAGAGGTGTCATATTTTAACATATAAAAAAGTGTTGAAGCATTATACATTATTTTTTAGAATACTAAATGTGTCATACATGATTGATTCTCTCCTTAAATAATTATGAAAGCCACATCACCAAGCTTACTTTGTTTCGTGTGCCTCCCCCTTGTGTTTCTGCCATAATTCTTGAGAACTCTCCAAGTTGAAATGAAGAAATTGCAGATCATGCTGCTGTTTTACATAGATCTACTTCCAGACAGTGATAAAACAGTTAGTGAAACGCTGAAGAACAAGGAATATTATGCCATCTTACATTAATATATTGCTTTTCATCTCAAAAGATCTCCAGGGCATTTTACAAACCAACACTGATATTCAAACAAAAAACGTGCCTGATCCTGCATTTCCAATGGGAGTTGGGGGTAAATGGGAATGTAAGATTTGGCTCTACCTAGGAATTACTTTAAACCCTATTAAAAATGCAGCCATCCCTGATTGGGGGTTTAAACACACACACACACACACACACACACACACACACACAGTAGCTGCTTAGCAAAATATGACAATACCACAAAACATTGTAAGGCAAGTAGTACGTAACACGATATTCAATTAATACTAAGTGGAAATTGTATAGACCGAATAAAAGTTACCAGCATTGAATTATGATCAACACACACACACACACACACACACACACACACACACACAGGGACTAAAACACTGCTACACTTACAAAAAGTGCCATGGAATCTTTAAAATGATCACAAAAGTCATCAGGACACTGGCTTTAACTCTCTTCTGGAAAAGGACAGCACATCTAGCAACACAGTGCCCCTTAATACCAAGTGAATTCACTTCAGTCATAAAGGATCTGATTTTCCAAGGTGTGGAACACTCACAGCTCCCATTTGCTTTAATAGGAGCTGTGGGTGCTCAGCACCTCAGAAAACGAGGCCCACAATTTTTAAAATGTAATTCCCCAGATAATGACAAATTATTCTGAAAACGTATTTTATTAAATATCAAAGCAATACATATTTGGTAAAATAGTTTATTTTAATTCATGGTCATTTTTTCCCCTAGACTTAGGCCCCAATTCTGCAAAAAACTCATGCATGTGCTTAACTTTACACTGGGCAGGTGTGACTCCTCCCAATGGGTGAAGCTGAGCACATGCCTAAGTCGGTGTGGGATATGGACCTTATTTGTCACAGCACCAAACATTTTGACATAAATCAGTGCTCTAACCTTTAGTTACTATAACCAGCATGTAAAAAAATAGGGATTTATACCATAGGTTCCTAGTCATAAGCAGCTCAAGATCTGCAGTGGGGTTCATGATTTAACAATAGTGAACAAAATTTTATTACTTAATTGAACTGTTAATTCTATTTATTTGTATATAGTTCTCTATAGACAAATATTACTGAAAGCTACTTTCATAAACACAGAAAAGAAATGCAATGAGGATCATACCTGCCGCAAATTGGACAGTTCTGTGTTGGTCCGGACTTGTTTAGATTTGGCAGATTGAAGAAGCTGATCTTGTCTATTTGCTTTCTCAACTGTTTTAAAAAAGTGGATTAAAACCAATTATTTTTCCCATAGAAATCAAAGTGAAAAACTAAATACAGCCAAGAGAAATCTCAAATACACACAAGAGAGAATGTCATAAAAAGCAATATTAACCTAAAAGTCTCAAGATCAACACAATGCTTTTTCATGAACAAGACAACTCATGCTATAACTCATGGGCCAACTAAATAAAACATTCAGGCATGTTTTTTCACCTGAACAGGCACCCAACTTTGCTAAAATTTCTAGCAATGTTTTTAAAATACATTACCATTACTCACTGGCTTATCTTTGTTTTTATATTTTAAGATTTCTTTATGAAAAAGAAACTCCGTAATAAATTCCAACTTTGTGTCTGTGTGGGGGAAACAGCTGCTAGTATGATTTTAAACACGCGAGGGGGTCAATGCTTGGCGCAGATTAGATGGGGGAGGTCAGAGGCTTAAAGCTCCCCACAGCAGGGGACAGAATCTGTTTAGTCTTTTCAACCTCCATTGTACATTTTGAAGTATGGAAGAGCAGCAATTTGCCATTCTCTTACTGTACTGCAGCAAAATAGTACTAACAGCACTATCTATACTCAAAAGCAAAGTGCACATGCCAAGACATACAATCACTCTTTTTTGTTATTCAGGTCTTCATGTTAAGGCATTTTAAACCAAGAGAGTTCGTTAAGGGAGAATAGCAGCCAAATGAACACTCTCCCTCCTTTCCAACATTTGCTTGCTGCTAATCGGAGAAGCTGAAGGCACTGAGCACCTCACAAGTCCAGCCCCAGCCATGTTGCAGACTCTTGTCTTTTTATTAGCTCTAGGTTTAAGAGGGTCTTTTTTTGTTTTTGTTTCACCATTTTCTATACAGTTGTGTGAGAAGGGGAAAAAATGTCACTCGTGTTTACCTATGTTACTAACACATTAGATCAGAGGGTCTCAAACATTTTAACACAGAGACGGTCTCCCTGAACCACCTATCCCCCCCATTCACAATCCAAATAACCACCTTCCCTCCCATTCATGCTCACATAAGATCCCTGTGGCAACTACATAAATAGCTTTAGTAGAAAAGCAATACTACGAATATACTTTTAGCTTCTTTTAATAGAATTTAACAGGTAACAATAAAGGGAAGGCTATGATGAGATAGCTCTCTAGACCACCAGCAAGTGTTGCACAGACCACAATCTGAAAACCTCTGACCCATCGAGAGTTGGGCACTAAAGCCCTTCACTCACCATTAAGTACGAGCTCATTCTTCAAGTAGTCGTTTTCTTGTTTGAGGCGTATGATTTCTTCCCGCTGCACATTATTTTCTTTCGTCTTTTCACTGAGGTCATCTTTAAAATAAAGTGTGTTCTTGAGTGAAAAAGCATACACTCAGATTTACAGTGGAGTAGGTGTCAGTTAATATTACTTACCTTTTAATTTATTCATTTCAAATGTTAGTTGTTTCAGTCTCAGTTTGAAATCCTGCTTTTCTTTATTGATACTGGATTCCCCCATCTTAGCTGCACGCAATGCACTTTCCAACTTTTTAAATTTAGATGTAAATTCAGTAATGTGATTGGTTGCTTCAAGTATATCTTTGTCCTACAAAAATATGAAAATAAAGCATACGTCAATATTTTTTCTATCATCATCATCATCTCCTCCTCCTCTTCTAGGTCTTCTCATTTTGTCTGGTAGATGCAGATGCAATAGTGAAAGCTTCCCACTCTATTAACAGTCTCATGCTGACTTGGAGAAGACTTGCTCTGAATTCTGAACAATCTGTAAACTCCATTTCTGAAGTCCGCTATACTTTCTGAATACATGGGTTTCTGGTTCGTTGAAGATTTTTCCACTTTCAATCAAGTCAACCATCCAGCAATCTGATCACACCACATTTGATAACGGCATTGGAGTTTTGTTCAGATACTTTGGGCATGGAGTGAGAAGATGACAGATGTTACCTTTAGCTTTAGCATCGTAATGAGTTCCTGTTCTCTAGCTTGTAACTGGCCTATTTTAGCAGCCAGCTCCAACACTGAACAGTTGAGACTTTGATTTTTCTCCTAATAAATAGAAGGAAAAGAGTATCAACTAGTGACTAGTTACACTGTTACTAAATAATCTTTCAGTAATTCAACATCAAGGGGCACAACTCATTTAAAGTTAAGAGGGAGGCAACATAGTTTAGAGAGTAGAAACTGGGGCTTGGGAGCCAGTTGTTCCTAAATTCTAATCCTGGTTGTTCTCCAATTTACATTCTTACTTTTGACAAGTCATAGCTCCTCTCTGTGCATTAGACTATCCATCTGTAAAATGAGGAGGGGTGGTGAAAGAATTTATAAATAGCTTTGAAGATGTAAATCACTATTTAAATAGCCACAAGTTTTGGAGGGAAAAAATAGGACTCTTAAAAATGAATCTTAATACCATTAACAGTTCACTTACCTTTAAAAAAGAATTAAAAAAAAAAAAAAAACAGCAAGGACCAGAAATTCCTAGATATTGAACCACCACCAAGTTTGGGAAACACTATTCCAAGGAGTTCTAGATCCAGGAAGGGAACAGAGAAGGAGGCAGCTCTGCATTGTTCAGCTAGTATATATCATAGAGCTAAACTTATGGATTTCTCATTCTGTATTATAGTCTACTGGTTAGAACAGGGGATTAGGAGTTAGGACTCCTGGGTACTATTCCCAGCTCTTTCCTACGATCACAGCCTTACCCAATCTGTGCCTCTGTTTATCCATTTGTAAAATGGATATGCTACCATCTATCAGCCTCACAGAGCTTTTGTGACACTTCACATTTATAAAGATCATCAGGTACGAGAGGATATAGAAAATGCAAAGTATTACTGAACTATATTGTGATAGTATTTTTAAATTGTGTTTTAGATAGATATAGGTATCATTGCCAAATGAACAAAGACATAAAAAAAAAAAATCTACAGTTTTAATTACTTACATACCTTTAAACTGATGACAAAATTTTATAATCCATGATAGTGACTTAAAATTTATAGAGATGGCTTTCTAAAACTGTTCATAATAAAATTGCAAGTACTGTAGTTGGTCAATTTAATGGCTGCAGTTTTGGCATCCCCACACTGGTAAGTGGCGCTCCTCAGAAACCACTCAAATAGAGACAGCAATCACAAAACCTTGAGTGTAATACCTTAAACCTAGTGTTATTTGACCCAAAGACAAGAACAATATAGAAGCCTAAATCTGCAGTCATATGCAGAAAATACCGGCAGACTTCAGTGGGAGTTGCATGCATACAAGGAATGCAAAGTCAGGCCATTAATCAAGACCTACCTCCAGGGCCTGACAATGAAGAGTTGCATCTGTTGCTTTTTGAGACAGCTCCTGAAGCTTCTGTTGAGTATTTTCAAGTGTTGTCCTACGATCATTCTGCTGAGATTCTAAGACCTTTAATCTTTGTGTTAGTGTTCTTATCATCTCATTTCTTTTGTGTAGTTCATCTGAGGAAAGAAATCAGGTATTTATTGTGAGCAAATAGTTTAAATTATATTTCACACACCATCTTTTAAAAAGTAGAAGTACTTTAACACAGCATTTTAAAGTAAAAGAACAACACATTTAATTTCTAGAAATGGATGCAGTTGCATAAACCTGAAGTAGACTTATCGATTTTTACCTGACATATTTCTTCCCTACTTAATTGTACATTTTTGAGTTTGCAGAGAGAATTAATCAATATAAATATGTATTTTAAATAAATGCTATACAGGTTATATTAATGAAGCAAATTTACAGTTCCTTAAAACAAAAATTATAACTGTTTTCACGTAATAGTTTCTTTCAGAAGTGCAAAGGATCTTGCTGGTTTTAGAATTGCTACAACAAATCATCTTTTAATAAGCTCTAAAGAGATCCTTCCCTCCATGACATTCTAGTATTTCCATGGTAATCTAAGACACATAGAATATTAATTCTGTTGTGAGATACCATTTGAACATGGATGAGGACACAGATCGCACAGTCTCATTCTGATTGGCTGGCAGTGCCTTCCTGATGATGTCACAGATGCGCACTAAATTCCTGATAGTACAGAGCTAAAAATCTCATTGCTAAAATACACAAAAATCCCTACACTCTTAATGTTCAGAGAATGTAGAGGGGAAAGTTAGTGAGAGAAGAGGTCAAAAATAAAGTACCCTGTGGGGCTGATAGAGGAAGACACACCATTGAGGATAAGGGGACAGCAAATGGTTGAACACAAAAAGTGACAGTCACAATTTAAGCTGCACCCCAACTAGGTTGAACTTTCAGTAGCAGGTTGTGACTTGAAAATTAAACTCCACAATACTCAAAAGACCAAATTATTTTTATAATAAAGTTAAAAGTGGCTGTTAGATAAGGATATCCTAGGACAGGGGTCGGCAACCTTTCAGAAGTGGTGTGCAGAGTCTTCATTTATTCACTCTAATTTAAGGTTTTGCGTGCCAGTAATACATTTTAACGTTTTTAGAAGATCTCTTTCTATGAGTCTATAATATATAACTAAACTATTGTTGTATGTAAAGTAAGTAAGGTTTATAAAATGTTTAAGAAGCTTCATTTAAATTAAAATGCAGAGCCCCCCAGACCGGTGGCCAGGACCCGGGCAGTGTGAGTGCCACTGAAAATCAGCTTGCGTGCCGCCTTTGGCATGCGTGCCAGCCATAGGTTGCCTACCCCTGTCCTAGGAAGAGCAGCTAGATTTCTGTGGGATAGAAAGGAAGATGGTAAAATCCAAATAATCCAGGGAATGTTTAAAAAACAAGAGAGAGATTGATTCAGAAAAAAAAATAAAAAATTTCCAAATAGCCAAGTTAAGGACACTCTTGCTTTAATGTAGCAATAAACTATAGTACACTCCTAAGATATGATTTACAACATTGTTTTGTTCCTACATATTTTATGATTCAATTTTTTTTTAAATGATACTTCTCACTAGTAAGGATTCATGGAATCAACATGTGGATTGAGCAGGAAAAGATTATCAAATCATCAGGTACATCTCCTGCCAATCAATAATCAGACCATTTTAGTACCACTGAGGAAGTTGTCTCTGGAAGGATGCTGACAACTACATTTAAGATGGAAAAAATAAAAATAAAAATAAAAAACATCCTTTACATGCTGTAACATTATACACACAGAGGGAGATCTGCAAGGGCACAAGCATCTACCCACATGGATCTGCTGACAGGACCAGGGCCTTACATTGTACAGTACTTACTTTCTAGCCTGCTACATCGTTCTGCCAGAGTCAGTATTTTTTGTCGATCATCTTCCCAGGCTAGCAGCTGTCTCTGATGTACTGCAACCATGTCATTGAGCTCCTTATCACGATCTTTCAGTTCTGCTATTAACAGCTGGAGTTCTTTCCTCTGTTTCTGAATGGTGCTGCTCTCAAGGTCTGTGCTAGGATTCTACAGAAAAAACTAACCCATCATATTCAAGCAACAAGAAATTAATCACAAAAACTAATTAACATGTTATGTCTTTATATAATGCTGTGAGATGGCTACTTGTATTTTTAAAACAAACATTTAAATAAGCCATTTAAAATCACCAAAAATAAAATCAAGGAGAGCACTAGAGCCTTCCTAAATTTCAACATAAAATCACAAAGAAATTGCATTTTTATAGTTCAATTAAAGCCTAAAGTGAGAGCTAAACAGTAATTTACTTTTAATGACCAAACAAATTCTAACATTAAAAGAACAAAGAATTGATAATGTGGCAATAATCACCCAAACTAATTAGTTAGCATCTTTAAATTTAATCTAAAATGAAACATCTTTTCACATCAGAAATCAGATCATCCGAGATCTCATTTATACTTTGATAAATACACAAATAGTTGTGAAGAGTTAATAAACGTTAGTGTAACCAAATAAAAGAAATAAGGTTTGAATACTCCCCCAAAATGCTAAACTATCTGATGAAGAATAAAGTAACTCAAAACAACTGTTCAGCCTCTGATGCTATCTCAGGCCTCAATCCCGCAAACATTTACTTACTTACATACATACATACACATACACACACACACACAATTTTACTATTGGTAGTAAAATTAAAAATATCTCCTTGAAGAAATTATACAAGAATTTTAAGTGTCTGTAAGATCAGAGCCTAAATTTACAGAACAATCCCCACAGATATTCATCTTTCTGTACTGTCACAGGTTTCCAGGATTCTACTAATGTTAAATTAGCACAGGTTACAATGTTTCTTTTTACTAAGAATGCTTTATCCTGCCTGTTCTCCATCTTACTTTGATGTATGGTTTGAAGAAAAACTAATACCTAGCAGTTTTGATTGAAGCTCTCTGCACTTCAGTGAGTGCTTTCCTGTTAAACAAACTGTATATGCTACATATTTAAAGCGTTGTTTGTTTGTTTTTTACCTGGGGTGAAGCTGAGAGTGGTAATGATGAATTCATAGGTATTCTGTGATCAGGTGTTCACCACTTGCTAACTGGGTCTTGATAAATATTTTCTACAGCTTTAAGATTCAGTTTAGAAGCTCCAGATAATTGAAGTGTTACATGCCTGTCCACCAAGACCTATTTGTACACGGAGGTCACTAAAAGAGTTTAAAAAAATACATCAATGAATTCTGGTACAAGTATACTCTCAAGTCACCCAGTCAAACTGAGGAACCATAAGAGACTTCTGTTTACGGGCTGCCGAGAAATTCTTTCCTGTAGCACAAGGCCTCTTAACTCTCTCCACACCCAGGGGCAACTTCCTGGCCCTGGCACCACTTCCCTGCCCGTAGTTTGCCAAGCCTCCATTCTCCGAGCCCCCCACCCCACCCCAGGCGCTAAGGGCCGAGCGGAGCAGCCCCTCACTCCCTCCCCCCCCAGAGCTGGGGGTGCCAGCCAGGCAGTCTGAGGGGAAACGGGGCTCAGGCCAAGCTCGCGCTGCCGACTCCCACAGGCCGATGGGAACCGCCTGGCCGTCCCACCGTTAGCGCGGGGCCGCAGCGCTTCAGTCCCAGGTCGCCCTCAGGGCTGCTCACCAGGGCGCGCGGAGGCCCGGGGCCGGGCGCCCCCCGCCGAGCTCCACAGGACCCTGCGGCTGGGGTCGGCTCCGGAACCTGTAGCCCGTTATCCGAGGGTTGGGGAACCGCTGGGAACTCAGCTCAGCCCGGCCTCATCCCCGAGAGGCGCCCCCGTTGGGAGGCTGCTGGGCAGGGTCGCCACCTTGCTGGGGAAAGATCGGGGACACCTGACGAGATTTATACCACGGCAGTGTCCGCGCTGTGCGGCAGCAGCTCCCATCCGGAGCTTCCAGCGTAGTGCAGCCCCAGCCGATAGGAAACTCTAATCCCGCGTTCCCGGGTGCTACTCACACAGTCTGGTCGTACCGTGTTTCGCAGCTCCTGGCGGCACTCCGTCAGCTGAAGCACAGAGAGCCCCAGGCACGTGGTCTCCCATCCAGCGGCTGAACCCCCCCGATCCCGTTTAGCTTAACGGACACCTCCATCGCAGTTCTCCCGCCTCAGCCGGCCCACAGACCCCGCCTCTGGCCTCCATTAGCCCCACCTAGCGGGTTGCGTCATACGGCTCACGCGCGGGAGCCGTTCCCCGGAAAAGTTCGAACGCCGCGCGAGCGGCTAAAGAGGTTGGTCGCGAGCAAGCTCCACCTCCTCAGCGCGAGCTCGGGGGGCGGGGCTGTTGGAACGCCTGCTCCACGGCTTGGGGCGGTGTCTGACGAGGGAGCACTGAGGGGGGCGGGGCCATGGTACGGCCGCCCCCTGCCGGCCACTTTTCCAGTCCCGATAGGCGTTAATTGCCCGGCCGGCGACCGCCCTTCTCTCGGCAGCAGCCGGAAAACCGGGGGTGAGATGAGAGGCGCGTGAGCTGGGGTGCAGCCCTCCGCCTTTCGAGGACACGCAGACAGCCTTGCTCCGCCCTAAGGTGTCTACACCTGAGGGGAGGAGTCTGGGCCTGCGCTGCGGAGCTGGGTGCATTCTCCCCTGGAGATGGCCAGGGGGGCACTAGGGCGCCGTGCTGCCCTAGCAGTGCTGTAAAATCCTAGCGATTAGCCCCCGTCGGGGCGGAGAGGACCGCAATAGCTACAGCAAGGTTAAAGCTACCTGGCCCGTGCCTCTCCCAGGCTTTTACAGAAAAAAAACAGTCAATGCAAAGCGAAAGCAATGAACCGTGTATGGACCGGTCCCAAGTGCCTAGGTGCTGAGGGCTGCTGCTTGCACTGGAAATTGGGAAGGCTGAGGCACTCCTTTGAATCTTTTACCCCGGAGAACTAGAAGTTACTCCATTTCTACCCTGCGTGCAGTGGGACAGAGACCTGAAATATCTGGTTTTTGCATAGCTTAAAAAGGAACTGTATTTAATTTTTAGAAGTATAAGTGGCTACTTATTTCTAACTGCACTTTATTTTATCTAATTTTATAATTACAAGAAACTAGTGTCTTAAGATAAAATTATTGTACTTTAATTCACTTTAGGGATTTAGAACTACAGTATTGAGCTTTTCTACCATTATCCAGTAGTGGAATTATATAAAATATATATACTTGAAACTGAATTTGTAAGACATATCTAACAGAACCCAGCACCTATATGAAATTGCCACAAGAAGGGGTGTTTTTATGAAGGTGACTAATATCCTGAACACAGTAAAACAGTTACATCAGGGCAGTTGTTGCTTGTCAGATACAGGGCAGTATATGAATTAAAACTATCAGTTTATACACTGTGATGACTAAAGTTAGGTGTATTTAAAACCACTTTATCAGAGAAGCTTCAGGTGCTACTTTATATATATTGCAAGTCTATCACAGTAGTACCCCTTTATTAAGAGTTTGAACATAACCGTTGCAAAGAGAAATTCCATAACACTCAAGTACCAACATTAATTCTGGCCCATCAATTCACAGACTACCTGTGCTAAAACATTTAGCAGGAAAAGTCTTTGGTATGAAGTTACTTAGTTATTTGTCACAAAGGTGTGGCTACAGTCAGATGAAGCAAAATCTTTCAACATCAATATAATGCCTAGATTGAAGAAATTTGGCCCCTAGGCCTAGAGGTGGTTTGGTTTAACCATAATTTGAATTTCTCTCAAGCCAGCTACATGCTAATACTACTAAGAAATCAGTTTAAGTCTTTCTAAAGATAATTCAGCTTTTATTACATGATTGACACAGAACTAGTTACAGTTTCATAGTATAAAGCTGAAAGAAGAGCTAGTGTGTGTTGTTCAGACTGGTTGATACATTTATTCACAATACTTTTTCCTTAAATTCAGTTTCTTAATTAGCACTGTATTTAAATTCAGCAAACATTTATCTTTAAGACTATAGTCCTGGTTTGAACTCTATCAGTTTTATACTAGCAGCAAACCAGAAGTCAGATTTGCAGATACTGTTTATTCCAGAATCGTATGTATTAAGTGAACTAACCATACGAGCCAATATAGCATTTGGCTGGTAGGAGTCATGCAAATCTTATCTTACAGTATTTGTTGCAAACAGCGTGTCCTTCAGTGTCTTACATTCCTTCAGGGTTCCTTGCTTTATCAACCCTTTTAATATGAAACTATTAACAGAGCTTTGAAACTTGAGGCCCATTTCTGATCTCACTTTTCATTTACACCAATTTAAATAACCTCCACTGAAGTTAGAGGAGTTATACCAGTGTAAGTGCATCAAACTTTGATTTCCAATTGGATCATTTGAAAGTGGTGGAAGGGTCAAGTGAGAACACATTTTTACTAGGGCTGTTGATTAATTGCCGTTAACTCACGATTAACTAAAACAAAATTAGTCCTGATTAATCGCACTGTTAAACAGAATACCAATTGAAATGTATTAAATATTTGTGGATGTTTATCCACATTTTCAAATATATTGATTTCATTTACAACACAGAATACAAAGTGTACACTGCTCATTTAATATTTTTGATTACAAACATTTGCACTGTAAAAATGATAAACAAAAAGAAACAGTATTTTTCAATTCACCTCATACAAGTACTGTAGTGCAATCTCTTTATCGCGAAAGTGCAACTTACAAATGTAGATTTTTTTGTTACATAACTGCACTCAAAACCAAAACAATGCAAAACTTTAGAGCCTACAAGTCCACTCAGTTCTACTTCTCATTCAGCCAATTGCTAAGACAAACAAATTTGTTTACATTTACAGGAGATAATGCTCCCCACTTCTTATTTACAGGGTCACCAGAAAGTGAGAACAGGCGTTCGCATGGGATTTTTGTAGCCAGCATTGCAAGGTATTTACCTCCCAGATATGCTAAACATTTGTATGCCCCTTCATGCTTCGGCCAGCATTCCAGAGGACATGCTTCCATGCTGATGACACTTGTTAAAAAAATAATGCGTTAATAAATTTTGTGACTGAACTCCTTGGGGGAGAATTGTATGTCCCCTGCTCTGTTTTACCTGCATTCTGCCATATAATTCATGTTACAGCAGTTTCAGATGATGACCCAGCACATGTTGTTTGATTTATGAACACTGTCACTGCAGATTTGACAAAATGCAAAGAAGGTACCAATGTGAGATTTCTAAAGATAGCTATAGCACTCAACCCAAGGTTTAAGAATCTGAAATGCCTTCCAAAATCTGAGAGGGACGAGGTGTGGAGCATGCTTTCAGAAGTCTTAAAAGAGCAACACTCCAATGTGGAAACTACAGAACCCAAACCACCAAAAGAGAAAATCAACCTTCTACTGATGGCATCTGACTCAGATGATGAAAATGAACACACGTCGGTCTGCTCTGCTTTGGATTGTTATCAAGCAGAACCCGTCATCAGGATGGATGCATGTCCTCTAGAATGGTGGTTGAAGCATAAAGGGACGTGAAGCTTTAGCACATCTTGCAACGCCGGTTACAACAGTGCCATGAGCACACCTGTTCTCACTTCCAGGTGACATTGTGAACAAAAAGCGGGCAGCATTATCTCCTGCAAATGTAAACAAACTGTTTGTCTTAGCGATTGGCTGAACAAGAAGTAGGACTGAGTGGACTTATAAGCTCTAAAGTTTTACATTTTATTTTTGAATGCAGGTTTTTTTTGTACATAGTTCTACATTTGTAAGTTCAACTTTCATGATAAAGAGATTGTACTACAGTACTTGTATTAGGTAAACTGAAAAATACTATTTATTTTGTGTTTTACAGTGAAAATATTTGTAATCAAAAATAAAGTGAGCACTGTACACTTTGTATTGTGTTGTAATTGAAATCAATATATTTGAAAATGTAGAAAACATTCAAAAGTATTTAAATACATGGTATTCTATTATTGTTTAACAGTGCAATTAATTGCAATCACTTGACAGCCCTAATTTTTATTGAATCAGGTTTTAAAAAAATCTTTAAATTCTGTTACAAAAATAAAAATAGCTGTAAAGAGACAACCTCAGTCAGTGAGGAACAATAACTTTATTTAATTAAATCCCTACCTTCATGCATGAGCATGATAGAACCCCCAGTTGAACTTTGGCAAAAGTCACAACAAAAACAAACCAAGCAGCCTATATAGAATGGTGAAAATGCCATGGATAAGGACACCCTACAGTTTTACTGCAGAGAAAATGCATTTAGAAGCCTCGCTTTGGCTCTGTCAACTATAACCAATTAAATAAAGGCAGTCTTTCAAAATCACTTCTTCACTTCTCCAAGATCTTCAATGCTGTCATCATCCACCTACAATAAACAGATATTACTTTAAGTGGGGGGGGGGGAAAGTGTGCATTCCTTACTATGCCCTGCTGTGCTAGGTTCTTTACAGAAACAGTCACTCTCTGAAGAGCTTCCCATTCAAGGCTCTCACCCTGTGATGAATTTTACATGAATGGATCTCTGGGTCCATGTAGAGCCCCACTGAAATCAACAAGGCCAGTCACAGAATCCATTGCATAATGGGCACCAACAAATAGTCAATGTACAAGGGCAGGAGAGAGAGACAGATACAAGCCAATAAAAATGTCTTTTTATAATTACATCAATAGAACCCAAACCACTTCTGAACCATCTGAATCTCAGTCCAACTACTTAAACATTAGCTAATTTCTCACAGGTAGCAACAGACATATGGTTGAGAAGGAACTTGATCAGTTGGGGAGACATTCCACACCCAAGGAACAGTATGGAAGAAATCATGGAGATGTTTGTATCTATCCAGCTATTTGTGGCCTTCATCACTATAGTATCCAAGCACCTAGCAGCAGATAATTAAGTAGTTTTTGAAAGATTAGGGGATATTTGGGTGTCATGTTCTTATGAAGGATTAGGTACTGTTTAGTAGTGGACATATCAAGGTAAACCACTGGCCCTCTTAGTTTGGAATCTTACATTTCTACCTGTGGCCAGGGTGGAAATGAATTTTTTTTTCAGAATCATATCACAAGATTATGGGCTACAGCCTCATGACTTAACTAGTAATTTTATGACCATGATGTGATAAAAATAAGTCACTTTTACATTTACCTCAGACCACTTCTCCTGGATTACATCAATAATGTCATCTGTAAAGTCCCCCTGAATTATGA